AACAAGCTTGACAAAGTCTCATATGCAAAGGGAATAACAACAAAGAAATATTGATCATTGGTTGGAAGGAAAGAGGAAAAATATACCATCAAGTAAGTTTTTCGAAAGAACAAACATGAAGCATATAACAAATATGCCAATCTTTCAACGAATGGTAGTTCATCATCCAAAGAGTCAAATATATCAATTCAAGCTTTGCAGCCGGTCATAAAAGCAAAAAGTGAAAAATCACAAACTCAAGAAGAGAAGGGTGTAATTAGTGAAAATTTGAAAATAATAAAAACTCATATATCTGACCCTTCGAATGAAAATGTTAACTTTATTGACAGTTTCAAAACCAAAGTTTGTGATTGGGTTAATGGTTGTACTTTACAATTGAAACACAAACCTAATATGAATGGACCCAATAAAGATTGGGTACCTAAATTTTTCCAATGATCGCAGGTACTTTGTGACGAGCAATATGATAACAAATGGTATATTGATAGCGGTTGCTCACGTCACATGACTGGGAAGAAGGAAAACTTGCGTGATTTTCGAAGCCTAGAAAATGGAGGAGTGGTTAAGTTTGGTAATAATCACAAATGCAAAGTCAAGGGTTATGGAAAGATAACAAATGGAAATTTCACTATCAACAGAGTTGCATTTGTTGAAGGTTTACAACACAATTTGATAAGTGTTTCACAACTTGTTGTGGGCACTGGAAATCAAGTTCTTTTTAATGAAGAAGGAAGTGTCATTTCGAATGTTAAGACAAAGGAAGTTTTACTTAAGTCAAAAAGAAAAGGTGATATGTTTACATTGGATATTGTTCCTATTGTAGGCAAACCTGCTGTGTGTTTACTTTCGAAGGCTGCTGCTGATGTTAGCTGGTTATGGCACAGGAGATTATCACATCTCAATTTTCGAAACATCAACAAACTTGTCATACAAGATCTGGTAAGAGGTTTACCCATACTTAAATATGATAATGACAGTTTGTGTGCAGCTTGTGAAGTAGGAAAACAACACAAACAAGGTCATCCTATCACAATAGATTCGAAGATTGTTGAACCCCTCGAACTTTTGCATATTGATTTATGTGGTCCTTCGACAGTTGCTACTCTTAACAAGAAAAGGTACATTTTGGTAATTGTAGATGATTTTTCAAGATTTACGTGGGTTTATTTTCTCAGGTTAAAATCCGAAGTTCCACAAATAATGATTGATTTTATCAAGAAAATGGAAGTTTCATTGAAAAAGACAGTTCGAAAAATTAAAAGTGATCATGGAACTGAATTCAAAAATCATGTCTTTGATTCATTTCTGGTGGAAAAAGGAATTTCGCATAATTTTTCATCTCCTTATACACCACAACAAAATGGTGTAGTTGAGAGAAGAAATCGATCATTATGTGAAGCTGCAAGAACAATGTTGGCTTATTCGAATTTACCTCAATATCTTTGGGCTGAAGCTGTTTCAACTGCTTGTTTTACTCAAAATCGATCATTCATTCATAGACGGTTTGATGTTACTCCTTATGAAATCATCAATAATCGAAAACCTAATGTCAAATTTTTCCATGTTTTTGGATGCAGGTGTTTTATAATGAATCTTAAGGATAATATTTCGAAGTTTCAAACAAAAGCAGATGAAGGAATTTTCTTGGGATATTCACACAATTCAGTTGCTTATAGAGTGTTAAATAAGCGAACTCGCAAAGTGGAAGAAACTTTTAATTTGACATTTGATGATCATTACATTAAAAAGTCTAATCATAAATTTGCGAATTATCCTATTTTGCAAAATTCTTCAAATAAAGATGATTTAATTGAAATGGATGATGTTGATTATGATTCGATTTTTGGTATTTCAGATCAAGCAGTTGATGCAGAAAGAAATGCAACTGATAATCAAACATCAGAAAATTCGAAGCATAACAATGATTCAATTTCGAATTTGAATCTAAACCCAAATGAACGAGCTGATGATCCAGTGGAGGGGGAGCACTTGGATTCAAATAGTTTTGTTGAGGGGGAGCATTATAGTGAAAGAGATAACATGTCAACAAATGTTAATGTCGAAGAGGAGCAAATTCTTGAAGAAGAGCCGATCAATGAACCAGAGCAAAATATCGAAAAGGAGTCAATCATTGAGGGGGAGCCTATACTTGAGAATGATCAAAATCGTGAAGAAGAAAATTTTGATGATGCTGAAGATTCAATTTCCATAATTGGATCAGAAACAGATGAAATGTTCGAAGATGCACTTTTGGATTTTGATCCTAATTATCCACCAATGGATAAATGGACAAGAAATCATCCAAAAGATCAAATTCTTGGTGATCCACAAGCAGGTATAATGACAAGGGCACAACTTCATGCACGAAATCAGGTACTGAATAATCATCAAGAGTTATGCATGTTTAATGTTTTTATTTCCAAAATCGAACCAAAGACAGTTAAGGTTGCAATGGAACACTCTGATTGGGTTGTTGCTATGCAAGCTGAATTGTCTGAATTCGAAAGAAACAAGGTTTGGAGATTAATTCCAAAACCTGTTGATGTGTCAATTGTTGGACTCAAATGGATTTATAAAAACAAAACTGACAAAGATGGAAACATTATTCGAAATAAGGCTAGACTAGTTGTTAAAGGATATTCTCAACAAGAAGGAATTGATTACGAAGAAACATTTGCCCCTGTTGCAAGACTCGAGGCTGTTCGTATTTTTCTGGCTTTTGCAGCTCATAAAGATTTTGATGTCTATCAAATGGATGTAAAATGTGCATTCTTAAATGGAGAACTCGAAGAAACTGTTTATGTTGAACAACCTCCAGGTTTTATAAACACAGAACATCCTGATCACGTTTATATTTTAGATAAAGTTGTATATGGGTTAAAACAAGCACCAAGAGCATGGTATGCAACTTTAACATCCTTTTTGAAACAATCTAAATTTAAACAAGGATCAGTTGATCCCACTTTATTTCGAAAGAAAATTGGGAATCATCTGATGCTTGTTCAAATTTATGTTGATGATATAATTTTTGGCTCAACTGACCCTGCTTTGTCTAAAGAATTCGAAGATCTGATGAAAAGCAAATTTGAAATGAGTATGATGGGCAAAATTAATAACTTTTTGGGTTTGAATATTCGTCAAAACAGGGAAGGCATCTTCATTAATCAGGAGAAATATACGAAGAATTTGTTAGAAAAGTTTGGAATGACGAATAGCACAAGGTTACGAATACCAATGGCAACGGGCATAAAGCTAACTCCTTCGTTAGATAAATCAGCTGTTGATATTACTTTGTATCGAAGCATGATTGGGTCTTTATTGTATTTAACTGCAAGTAGACCTGATATTATGTATTCTGTTTGTAATTGTGCAAGGTATCAATCAAATCCACGTGAACCACATCTAACTGCAGTAAAGAATATTTTCCGATATTTGAAAGGCACTACTTCATTAGGATTGTGGTATCCTTCGAAAACAGGGTTCTTTGTACAAGCCTATTTGGATGCGGATCTTGGAGGATGCAGTCTTGATCGTAAAAGCACAACCGGTGGATGTCAATTGCTAGATGGAAAGTTGGTCAGTTGGCAATCGAAGAAACAAACATGTGTTTCAATCTCAACTGCTGAAGCGAATATGTTTGCAGCTGCGTGCACATCACAAATAATTTGGATTCAAAGTCAATTAAGAGATTATGCAATTAATATGAAAAAGATTCCTTTATATTGTGATTCACAAAGTGCAATAAGAATTTGTCATAATCCTGTGCAGCATTCGAAGACCAAACACATTGCTCTTCGATATCATTTCATCAAAGATCATGTTGAAGAAGGAAATATTGAAGTTCATTTTGTAAAAACAACGGAACAATTGGCAGATATTTTTACAAAAGCTTTGGATGAAAAATCGTTTCTTCGTATCTTAGATGGATTGGGAATGATTGATGGAAATTCACTTCAATCTGATAAAAGCGAAGAGTGATGGGTCTGAATCATTTGGTGTATGCATGAAGAAGGAGATTAAGTGTTCAGAGGTTACTGTTCATGGTCAACGCTTCGAACGCTTCACATTCGGAAGTTTTTTTTTGAAATAAATAATCAGAGGTTATTGTTCAAGTCAATGGGTTGCATGCTTCATATTTGTACACATTTCAACTAAGATTAGATTTGTAGTTTGTTTATTTTTTTTTGAAAAACCTGAAAAATCAAAAATATTTTCATTTATTGAAAAAAAAAATCCAAAAAGATTTTGTTTCAGTTTGTCCTTAATTTTTTGAAAAATTACAAAAATACCAAAAATATTTTTCATTTTTTAGTTTTAACATGTGTATTGTGAGTTTTGTCAAGTTTCAAATACGAAGGATTCATGCGTCTGGTTTTGAAGGAAAGGTATGATCTCGATACATTTTGGATTAGTTAGAATGTCCCTAGAAGCATGTTGTTGCATGTTGTCTCAAGCCTCGAATGATTCTATGTATGAGAGATGAAAGCCTTGATGAAATTATCTCATGAAAATTTCTACCCAACAAGGCTTGTATTTGCATAAATCAACAAGAGCTACCTTACTCTTCTCAAATGAGTTAAGAGTTTTCTGTTTTGTCCAATATAACAGAGGTACCCTTCGATTCTTAACCAATCTTTTTAAACCAAACAATTCTTACATTCCAAATATTCGAAGATTTGTCCTTGAGGTCTTTGATCAAACCAATCAAAACCTAGACAAATCACAAATCTGTGTTTATGATCTAATATCATGAGTCCGTGATAGAAGTGAAACCCAAAATATCATAAACCTTAAGGAATTGACGGGGAACCATGTTCCAGATCTTACGAAACAT